TCCTTTGTTAGGAGGTGTTAGCAGGCTCTGATTGTTTCATGCCAGGAATTCCCCTGTTGTTTGTGCATTCCTTTTTATTTACTGTCCTGATTCTAGAGTTTTTAATACTGATAGCCAGATTTTGACCATTTTCATGGTTTTCTCCTTTCTGTTGCAATTGTCCTTTGTTGAACATATTATTTGTTGGATATTCTTAATGCAGGCAACCTCAAACTGAGGCCCTCCAGCTGTTTGGGCCTTCAACTCCCAGAATTCCTGACAATTGAACAAGCTCATTGGGGCTTCTGGGAGTTGGAGGCCCAAACAGCTGGAGGACCACAGTTTGAGGATTCCTGTCTTAGTGGGACCGTAGATAGTTTGTAGGTTGTGTTTCTTCATCAGCTTTCCTATGCAGTCAGTGGTTCCTCGATGTATGGTAAAAACACTTTTCTTCTGGATGGAAAAAACAAGGGATCCTCTCACCTCTGTAGGAGTCTACCATATACCATGCAGCTGTGGACAAGTCTACATAGGGACTACCAAACGTAGCATTGTCCAAACACAACTCAAGGAACGTGAAAGGCACTGCAGACTAATTCAACCAGAGAAGTCAGCCATAGCAGAGCATCTGATGAACCAACCTGGACACAGCATATTATTTGAGAACACAGAAAGGCTGGACCATTTTAACAACCACCATGTCAGACTACATAGAGAAGCCATTGAAATCCACAAGCATGTGGATTTCAACATAAAGGAGGAAACCATGAAAATGAACAAAATCAGGCTATCAGTATTAAAAAAAAACCCTCTGTAATCAGGATAGTAAATAAAAAACAACAACACTCAAAAACAGGAGGCCCTGCTTTTGGTCCCTCCTCCTTTGCAGATGCAACTGATGAGGACGGGAGACAGGGTGGTGACCCCTTGGCTGTGGAACTCCCTCCCCAGTGATATTAGAGCAGCTCCCTCCCTCCTGGCCTTCAAAAGGAAAATGAAAACCTGGCTCTGGGGTCAAGCCTTTGGAGATTAACTACAGTGCAATAATAGCTAATTATGTACAATGACTTTTGGAATGGCCCAGATTATGATTGTGGATTGCATGATTTTTAATATTTTATATGTTTTTAATGTGCATTTAATTTTAATTTTAAATCTTTAATTTAATGTTTGTTCTTCAAAGGTATTGAATAGTTGCCATATGTAAAGCCGCCTTGAGTCCCCTTCGGGGTAGAGAGAAGTGGGATACAAATAGAGTAAATAATAAATAAATAAAACCAGAGAATACCTGACATGAAACAAACTGGGCCAGCTAACATCTCCCAAAAAAGGATTCCTCCAGGCAGGAAGCAGCCAAGCTTTGAAGTTGTGAGGCTATTAAATGCTAATCAAGGTGTTCGATTGAAACATTCACACTTGCCTCAAGCAGACATGAGTTCTTTCTCCCACCCTGGACATTCCACAGATATATAAACCTTACTTGCCTCTCAACCTCTGAGGATGCCTGCCATAGATGTGGGTGAAAGGTCAGGAGAGAATGCTTCTGGAACATAAACACACACCCCGGAAAACTCACACCAACCCAGTGATTCCGGCCATGAAAGCCTTCGACAACATATATTACTAACATTTACTAAACATTCATAATATGAAAAATATTGATTGCTGATGTGATTGCCTCACTCTACTTAATGGTAGGTCTGGCCTTGGATTTCATTGAGGAAATGTCTTACTAAATACCTGGGTATCTGACTATTGAACAGGTTGAACATCTTTTATCTGTAGACAATGACAGCTCTGCTTTCTAACGGTTCAATATATGCAAACTTTGCTGCATGCACACAATTAGTTAGAAAAATATTGTGTAATCTTACCTTCAGGCTATCCATACCAAGTGAATATGACACACAAATGAACTTTGAGTTTAAATGTGTGTCTCATCTCCAAGATATGTTGTCATTATGTAGATATATGAAATACAGATATTGCAAAATCTCTAAAATCCAAAAAACTTCTGGTCCCAAGCATTTGTTCAGCCTGTACCTATAACTGATAAGAAGGAGTCACTATAAGAAAGAGGAACACTGGAAATAAACTGAAATTTTCTGATTTAACTTCTGCGGGAAGGGAACAGCACTCCATGTAGTCATGCCAGCCACATGACCTTGGAGGTGTCTACGGACAACACCAGCTCATCGGCTTAGAAATGGAGATGAGCACCACCCCCAGAGTTGCACACAAGTAGACTTAATGTCAGGGAAAACCTTTACCTTTAATGCATTAGCCAGTTTCAGATGGCAATTTGGTGAAATGAACAAGGATGCCACTTAATCTACCAAGAAAGGTTAATCTGTGCTTCCATTGCTATTTTGTCCATTTTGAGCACTTTTGAAAGGTTTGGATTTTTCCACTGGGCAGTTAATATGGATACTTCATAAAAATGCTTTATGAAGTATTTTACCACCAACTACATTGATCTTTATTTCTGTAAAACCTCTCCACAGGAGATGAAGAAAATATGACTAAGGCTCTCAGGATCATTCTATCCCGTATATTTTTATTTCCGCCTGGGGGGAAAATGATCCTTATTTCAGTTAACAGGGCTATTTCTTTCTTTCTTTATAAGCAACATGAAATGTGCCATGTGCAATTTTATCTGTTTGGTTTTACCATAGGATTGAAGACCTGGGGTGGGAGGGGTTGAGTGCCGGGAGGACAATTTTCCATACTTTTCCTAAGCAGAAGGCATTTTTTCAAAGAAGCTAGAATCATGTGGGTGGGCAAAAGGATGGATGGATAGACAGACGGAAAAGGGAGTTTCCTTCATGGCTTTCCAATAATTGGTATGTGGTTTACATTCCATTCATCTGAAGGACTGGGATATTAATCAGAACCAGGCACTGGCTACTAAAACTACCTCTAGCATTCAAAAAACATGCGCCAGCGTGTTTTCTCACATGCGTCTTTGCCTCAACGCCCGCAGTCCCTGGGGAGAGGTTGCGGTTGCTTACTAGCAAAGCTCAGCTGCAGGTACTATAATGGGATCAGCCATGGCGATCTTTTCCAGGGAGAGGTTTTGCTGATTGCTAGTTTCAGAAGTGGAATCGTTTTATAGACTGGGAGGCCTTTCTCCTCTTTTAAATTGGCTTAACTCATATGCAGAAGAAATTGATGTGGGAACCATCCAAGTTTTGGAAAAACCTCGTTCTGGATGGAGACATGGAGGTCTGGCAGTTGCATCTGGCACCTGGCAGCCGGACATTAAAGCAGCCAGGCGATGAACAAAGTCTTACTGCTGGCAGCAACATTTACTGTGCGGTTAGGAAGTATACAAAAGATCTGGCTGGGAGCACCTCATGGTCATGCAAGCTTAGTTTTTGAGCTCTCTGACAGAGGAAGGTAAGGAACGTGGCATTTGACTCCTATGGCCAGTCACATAGGGAAATAGGCTAGTGACAAAGGGATGTTTATGATCTCCGCCCATGATTTCTGGAAAGAGCCACAGCCATCCACGGGAGAGCAGGGACCCTATCACAGCACACAAATATAGCAATGTGATTCCACTTTAACTCCCATGGTTCCATCTTGTATAATTCCATGAAAGGCCATTTAGAGAGAGGTATTTAGAAACTTGAGCCAGAGACTTCTAGTGCCTTTCCAGATTCCCAAGGATTCAGCCATGATACTTATTGGAATCATAATGTTATATTGTGAAAGGGTCCCTGGTGTTAAAATTCCCTACACAGCTACAGATTCAATGATCGAACATCATATAGTAGGATTGTTGTTGTTTTTGTGTTTCTTCAAGTTGATTCCAACTTATGGGAACTCTTAGATGACCCTATCACAGGGTTTTCTTCGAATTAGCTATTGAGTTGCCTTTCTTTGGGGCTGAGAGGGTGTAACATGTCCAAGGCCACCCAGTGAGTTTCCATTTCCAAGCAGGGAAATGTCTTAGTCCAACACTCATATCATTACATCATATTGTGGAGCCCCAGTGGTGCAATGGGTTAAACCCTGATGCCAGCATGACTGAAGACTGACAGTTCAGAGGTTTGAATCCGGGGAGAACGTGGATGAGCTCCCTCTGTCAGCTCCAGCTCCCCATGCAGGGGCATGAGAGAAGCCTTCCACAGGGATGATAAAACATCAAAACACCCGGACGACCCCTAGGCAACATCCTTGCAGACGGCCAATTCTCTCACACCAGAAGCAACTTGCAGTTTCTCAAATTGTTCCTGACATGAAAAAAAAGTCATATTGGCTTTCCAGCAAAGGACAAATGACATCTATGCCCCTTAAAAACGCTGAGCAGACTGGCAAATGAATTCCTTCAACAGAAAAAGCCCCCAGTGGCACAATGGGTTAATATTATTATTATTAACCTGCACTATATTTTTTAAAATTTGAGCAAGGTACCCGTTCCTTGCAGAGAGCTGTTGTGCACAAAGGACTTGCTACATGGACACACCTGCCAAAGAAAGTGATTTAAAGTAATTTCCAGGCAGTAGGGATGGTTAACCAGAAGGTTGCTTGTTCTCAGAATGAATTAGGTCTCCTCAAACAACCTAGCCAAATAGCGGGGGAGGGGGGGGCAATAATGCTTCAAAGCATATTCAAAAGACTTTAATTTTCTCCAACAACCAGATTCTATGAGATTTTGAAAGTTTAATTTTAATCACTTCCTTTTATGTACGTATTGACAAATCAGGTCATCTTCAAATGGATTTTGTTTTCAAAGCCTCCAAACTTGGAAGTTCCAGTTTTTGTTACTGTGTTGATTTTATTATAGTTTCATATGATAGTTACTTAATCCAAAGTATTTTCTGAGAGAGTCCAGTATTACCAAAATACAAGCCCCTGAGGGCAATGCCAGAAGGGAGAAAAAAAGTCTCTGGAAGTCTTGAGAGCTTCCAATTATTTTTAAGTATGTGTTTATTCACAACTTGCATCCAGTTTCTTTCTTGAAATATGCCAGGTTTCCTTCTGTCCCTTCTCCCTTGTGTCGTTTCTTTCTCCTCTTTTATCACATCTAGTTTCATGCAGCAATCCAAAAATTGAACCTTAAAAAAGCTAGGAGTCTGTAATAAAAACATATTGAGGGAAAAACCTAGGAGTTATAGTTACAGTACTAAGTGCTTTTGCAGTATTATACCAGTAAAGCATTCGGATCCTTTCATTTTTGTGCTAACATTCCTCTTTCCGTCACTTGATCTCTGTTGAATCTGTGTCCTGGAAACAGTAGCTGTATTTACTGGCATCAGCTGTCCTAGCGAGTTCCAGGAATTTAGAAACATGCAAGGTAAGTGCTGATAAATTTTATTTTGGAAAATACTAAGTTAATTGAAACTGACCTGGGAAGTGGGAATGAAAAAGCCCTTGATAATGCTGGGAGCTCCCAGGAAATTCTTCAGAATGAAGTAAATGTCGTGTGCATCTCCAAAATAAAATCAAAAACCCGAGACTTGCCAAGGTTTTAAAAAACCCATTAAGAATACTTCCCCAGATTTTACTACTATTAAGAAAAAGTTTATAAGGACTTTTGGCATGTTGTATTTTTTGGGTTGGGGGTGGGGGAAGCATGATCTTTGAGATTATAACCTTTTAGAAAACCAGAATCCCCAAAGCCTTTTCGGAAGTTTGGTCTTTTGGAGATGAATTGGCATTCACTACCATTTGAAAAATCATAAACTTTTTGTAAAATATTATCTTCTTTAGAAGAGCGAAAACCCCATTTGATTCAAACTTTTCTTTAGTGGTAAATATCCGCTAGTTTTCATGCAGGGCAAATTAGGTTTCTCAGTTGTTAGACTGATATACCTGGTTATCTCTTTGAACTGTTTGAACAAATATTATGCCAGTGCACAAAATATATAGCAGATCTTCAGAAGTGTTATTTTGGTTACCCAAAAAACACCTACTCTCACATAAATATATTTTTGGTTTTAGATCATGCTTTTAAGCAACAAAAATAAGTAGTCTTAAAATAACATAGTTGATTTACTTACAACATCATATATTCAGCATACAGGTGCACTGCTTATCAGTTGAAAGTTTAAACAATAAGTTATCTAAAGCATTCTGTTGCAGTCTCTTCTCAGTATTATGTCTAATGCATATTCTCTTAATGCAAACTGAACACAACCTAAACACAACACAGCAGGACCGGGCTGTGGCACAGCTAGTTAGTAGCAAGCTGCATTAAATCACTACTGATCAAGAGGTCATTAGATCGAAGCCAGCCCAGGTTGAAGTAAGATCCTGACCATTAATAGTCTACTTTGCTGTTGATCTATGCAGCCCGAAACACAGTTGCATCTGTCAAGTAGGAAATTTAGGTACCGCTTTAAACAAGGCTAATTTAACTAATTTACAATGCCATAAAACTTTCCAGCAGCATGCAGAAGAATGAGGAAGTACTCTATCAAAGGACTTGGTGTCGCAAGTAGACAGTGAAGCAATAGCTCCCCCTGTGGCCAGAATCAAGCATACCCTCATGAAGCCGGAAAAGCTGGAATGTTAAATGCCTCTGTATCTGCCTATAATTGTTGTATGTCTGGCATTGAATGTTTGCCATGTATACGTGCATTGTAATCCACCCTGAGTTCCCTGCGGGGTGAGAAGGATGGAATTTAAATACTGTAAATAAATAATAAACAAATAACACTGACTAAAATGAAGTCTCAGTCTGAATAGTCCCAGATCTGATCACATGGTCTGCAGTCCCACCCACAACCTCAAACAAGATAGAGTTAAGGGAAAACTGCATATCAATACACACATATAATATAATAATCTGAATCATACACATAACAAATAAACTAGTATAGGAGGCTTGTAGAAGGTTGCTATTTCCAACAAAATTGTTGCATAAATTATAATGAGCATGTAGCTTGAACACTTCACATGATGGACACATCTGTTGGATCCCCAACAATTTAAGTGGAGTGCGGAAAGCAATTTTTTAGAGAGCGGCTTTTCTGTTATTCATTACATTGTCTGAAAAGCAACCATTTTTCATTACTCAGTATAATACTGAAAAAAAATATAATTTGTGATATTTCTTATTATACAGGACCATTGTTTTTGTATTATGTTCTTTTTTGAAAGGAAGAACTATAGGACCAATAAAATGGCATAAAAGTTGCAATATTCTTCTCAAAGTGCTTCTAATAATTCCCTTCACATGAACTTTTTGACGGTAACTAGAAACCATTACTGTTGCACCAAAGTGATGTTTCTCCTACTCTTAATATTATTTTTGAATTCCAAAAGAAAAGAAAAAAAACATGGAAAGATCACTGCATTACAATCTCACTGTAGTTACTTGAAAAAGTAACTAGTTCATTGCATGAGAATAGTTGTATGAGCCTACAGCCATTACATAATGTACATATGTTGAATCTTCTATGTAAATAACTATCCCTGCATTCAGCTCAGCAATTCACAAACTCATGTATACTGGGTATTCCTTTCTTCAGCATCACATACAAACATCCTTTAGGACAGTGTTTCTCAACTTTCATAATGCTGCGACCCCTTAATAGAGTTCCTCATGTTGTGGTGACCCCCAACCATAACATTATTTTTTTTTACTACTTCATAACTGTAATTTAGCTACTGTTATGAATCGTAATGTAAATATCTATTATCCCCGCATCCAGAATACCTTGTGATCCCCCAGCAATGATGGATCTGAACCAAACTGGGCACCAACTCAATGTGGCCAACTGCGAATACAGGCAGGGTTTGGGGGTGATTGACCTTGGCATATGGGAGTTGTAGTTCACCTCCATCCCAAGAGCACTGAACCCAACTGACAACAGATCTGGACTAAACTTGGCACACAAACCCAACATGGCCAACTGTGAATACTGATGAAATTTGGGGAGGATTGACCCTTGATTTTAGGAGTTGTAGTTCACTCACAACCTTATGCATTTTCGAATGGGAGCATTAATTAAAAAAAACAAAGACTGACTTTTTTTCCTAATAATTAGCATTACAAATTATCTAAGCTGCTTCTGCTGCTGCTCCTCCTGATGCTGCTGGGCCACTCTCAATCCCACCCGTGTGGGTGCTTTCCCCCTGCTTTGAAGGGACTCGCTGGTCTGAGCCTCCCTCCAACTTCACACACCCTCCTTCACCCACACATGCGTACCACGATGCCATGCGCTGAACATGCCTGCTCTCCTCTCCCTGCTTGGAGTCTCAGAAAAAGCCCTCCCCTTGGCCGAGAGGCCAGATGAGAGGCTGGCCATTCACAGCAGAAGGAGGGGTTTTGGTGGGAGGAAGAGAAGGACAGGCAGAGAGATCTTCAGCCTTCTCTGCCAAAGGGGTTCCTAAGACCACCAGAAATATGTGTTTTCTGATGGTCCTTGGCGACCCCTCTGAACCCCCCCCCCTCATGCCCCCCCATGTTGAGAAACACTGCTTTAGGGGTATGTTGGCTCTGAATTGAGGCCGTCATCTTTGAGTATTCCTTGCCTATGAATTTCATGTGGTTGCCATAAATTGACAGGTGAGTTGAAGGACACATATACACAAATATGTTGCTATGTAACTATGTTGCTACATAGAGTGATGGATTACATGGCATCTCATCTCCATTTAACGTACAGAGGCCTGCTGGACAGACATTTTAGACTTACTTCAGCACTGGCAGAAAGAGAGTTTCTCCATTTCATGGAAAGCATCAGGACCACATTGTGTGGAAGAGGAAACAGTTGTAGATGCCAGGGGAAAAAGCATGGAGGTTGCCAAAGGTGTGACCCCAGGATCTGCTGCCAGAGGTGATACCTCAACTCTGCTTAATAGAAGAGCTGGAACTCACTGAGAACCAAAACACAATCATTAAATGCGTCTTCTTGTGGAGAGAAAATTTGTGGTATAAAAAATAATAACAACAACAGACTCAGATTTGGAAGAGACCCCAAGGGCTACCCAGTCCAACTCCCTGCCATGTAGGAGAAGCACAATCTAAGAATTCCAGTTTCTGTTTTAAAGTCCTTCAAGGAAGGAGACTCTACCATACTATAAGGCCACCTATTCCACTGCCGAACAGCTCTTCCCTTCAGGAAGTTCTTCCTAATATTTTGGTGGAATCTCTTTTGCAATTTGAATCCATTGCTCCGAGTCCTAGTCTCTCGAGCAACAGAAAACAAGCTTGTTCCCTTCTTAATGTGACATCCTTTCAAATATTGAAACATAGATGTCATGTCCTTTCTTAATTCTGGATCCCCCCAGTGAAAAAATAGTTTTCTTTAAAGGATAGTCACACTGAAATAGATTGAATAGTTCATTCAGAATTCTTTGAGTACAAAGAGTGTTTATACTTTGTTTTTGGTGGAATATATCTAATCCTGGACTCATTGCTGAGCCTGGAATCCCAGGTCTCGGTGGTGGCCAGGGGAGCATTCGCACAATTAAAACTTGTGCACCAGTTGCACACGTACCTTGGGAAGTCAGACTTGGCCATGATGGTCCATGCTCTCGCCACATCTAAGATAGACAACAGCAATATGCTCCACATGGGTTTGCCTTTGAAGACTGTTTGGAGAGGCAGCCAGGTTAATAACTGGAATGGCATATAGGGAGCACACAACTCCCATGCTATGTCAGCTTCACTGGGTGCCAGTTTGCTATCGAGCACAAATCAAAATGCTGGTGTTAGTATATAATGCCTTATACGGCTCCAGCCCAATTTACCTGTCCAAATACATCTCTCTATATGAACCATCACGGAGATTAAGGTCCACAGGGGAGGCCCTGCTCTTTGTCCTGCCACTGTCTCAGGCGCAATTGGAGGGGGCGAAAGAGAGAGCCTTCTCATTGATTGCTCCTCAGCTATGGAACTCCCTTCCTGGTGATATTAGAGCAGCCCCCCCCCCCCCACTCCTGTCACTTCAGAAGGATGATAAAAACTTGGCTGTGGGACCAAGCCTTTGGGACAGTTCAATAAGGCAACAATAGGAAACCTTACCATGTCAACCATATTTGATGCGGATGATTGAGATGGTATAAATAGTGGAGTTTAATGTTGAGATAATTGATTTTAATCCTTATGTGCGTGTACAGTCTATTTATGTCCCAGCATTGAATGTTTGCCATTTATATGTTGTGCTCCACCCTGAGTTCCCTTCAGGATGAGAAGAGTGGAATATAAATGCTTTAAATAATGAATGAATAAATAATCAGTTTACTCATTTCTCCAAACCTCTCTGCAAATGCCTGAGCAAGCAGCACAGCTGAGAACCACAGGGGACTCCTTGTGGTACAGTCAGTCCATTTAATCATTTCCCCAAAGTGTTTTTTCCTCCTTTCCTTTCTGACCAGGATTCGGTAGCCTCCTGAACACAGCCAAGCCCTGTAATCTGGCCTTTAAAACTTGGAACAGTTCCGCCGCCCTAACCATTTCTCTTTCCTTTGGTGCCCATGCGTTACCATTTAAGCATAGCAGAGGAGAGGGGAAGACCCACCCCAGCTAAGTAAGTTAGCTTATTCACTTTTGCTGATAGCAGCAGTCCACCCACAGCGTTCTTTCACATCTTTTTTTTCTTTCCCCCTGTGTTTTGGAAAGTGGATAAGGGACTCATTCAGTGATGCACAAGTTTTGCCCAAGCCCAGAATGAAGCATTTCATAAAATGAGAAAATAACCTCAGAGACCACACACACACAGAGTGCAATTTCTGGACTTTTTCTCCCCTCCTTTCTCCCTCCCCCCCCATCCCTTCCTCCCCCCCCCCCCCCCCCCCCCCCCATCCCTCCCTCTCCCCTGTCCTTCACCCTCCCTCTCCCACACACATAGGCTGGCCAGCAAAACAAGATGATGACTGACATTCTTAAATCCTTTAAGCATCCGTCTACAACGCACGGGCAAAAGGAGGGTTTTCAGTGCTTAGGTGGCTGATTGTTAGCAATGAGCTGATGAAAAAATGGATTACTACAGTATGTGCCTGACATGCCGAAGAGAAAAGTCACTGAAATCCTTCTCCCATCCCCACCACCCCACCCCCTACTCCGCTTTTATGGATAGTTTTCAAAAGACAAAAAAGGCAACTGTGCTCTTGTGCCAGCAGGACTGTTGACCGATAGGTCAGCAGTTCAAATCTGGAGAGAGCAGATTGAGCTCCCTCTGTCAGCTCCAGCTCCCCATGAAGGGACATGAAAGAAGCCTCCCATAGGATGGTAAAACGTGAAACATCCGTACATCCCATGGGCAACAACCTTAGAGATGGCCAATTCTCTAAACACCAGAAACAACTTGCAGTTTCTCAAGTAGCTCCTGACATGAAAAAAACCCACCAGTATTTATGTGAAATATGCCAATATGGAATACTGTCCCAATATAACTTGTATTAACTCTCAGAAACATTTTAAAAGGTAGAATCTATCCCATATGGAGCATGTGCAGAACACATGCTCCTGTGCAGTGTAAAGATTTTACCCACACTTATATCAATCTTTATAACTTCCTTCTGGTTTCACCACTTCTGACTAATCTGACCATCTGAAAGTCATGCAAGAAAGAAAGAATGAGTAAAGGAAAGCAGGGAGATGAAAATTCAAGAGTGGTCAAGTCATTATCACACTCCACAGCCATTAATTTTGCAGGCTTCTGCCCTCAGGGAACAATGCAATCAACATTTCTCAAGAAGGAAACAGAAGCAGGCCCC